CATACGAGAGAATCAAATAAGAAATTCTCACGCCGTTGTTTTTGATCAGATCGACATAATTTCTTCCAGATGGCGTTTTCTAACAACTATTGAATTTCGGATTAAAGTTTATCAAAATCGGAAACCTCTATCATATAGCTGCCATAGGAAACATCGAAATATATATATGTATACAATAACTAATGGAAAAAAAAATTATAACATCGTTGTTTTAATCCCACTAGCATGATTTTTTAATATCCCTTGAATCGAGAAAAAAAATTGCATTAAAACCCGACCACGTTATCAAATAGCTGCCATAGGAAAGATCGAAAAATCTATATAGAAATAACGGAAATAAAATTATAACATCGTTGTTTTTCATCAGACAAGCATGATTTTTTGAATATGTGTAGAGTTGTCTAACGACTCTTGAATACCGAATTAAATTTCATCAAAATCGGTCGACTTGTCAAATAGCCGTCATATGAACAATAGTCAAAAATATGGAAAATAGGTAGAAAAATCGTCATAGCTTCGATGCTGTTTAGCCTCTATGTATTTGGTTCGACATATTTGATGACTGCAAGGGTTTAAACTTTAAAGCTTCGCCTTGCCGAAGCTAGCTTCCTTTCTTGTTTTTAGTAACAATACGGAAAATTCTATTTTATTATTTATGGATTTTCCTATAATTAATCGTTGTGGAATCCTAAACATTTACTTTGGTGAACTTGACAATGGATTCTTTCTGTGTACAAAAGCCTTTACCTTTTTTTTTGTCTGGTACAGAACCCAAAATTAGAACTGCACTTAATTTCTATTATAATGATGACATGCCGTCTGCGCGGCATCGCCCCAAGCTGCGGAACTGAAGCGGCAGGGAAGGCGTGACTCCTGCCCGGCAGATGCCTCGCACACACGTAGCTGGCTAGTCCTTTATTCCGTTCATTTCTTTTTAGATCTTCGCTACTCCTTTCCTGCGTCCGTGCGATTTTTCTCCATTCGGCGACGCGACGCTTCCGCTTTTATGGACATTTAGATGCAAAGTTTCTGGCATAAAAATGGCGTGGCAGATAATTTTCATAATTTTCAACTACATTTCATTGTGTGCAACTGTGTGGAGGCGTGGCCGGCAGAAGTTCTGGCTGCAGTTGCCGGCCCGCTTTCAACTAGCTCGTTATTCTCCGTTTTATTTTCGTGTGACACTAAAAAGGAAAGAGTGGGAGCCGGAATCAGACCCGGACCCGGACCCGGAGTCGGAGCCAAAGTCAGAAGTTGGTTTTTATTAGTGCTCGTTGCTTGGAATTTCATTTGGTCATTTTGTCTAGTCCTCGTTGACTTCGTTGTCTGGTTGTGGCAGTGTATTATATTTTATTGGCCGAGCCCCAGCGAAATTTATGGACTCGAATAATACACTTTAAGCATTTTACCAAGTGCAACAAATTCCCGGCCCGAAAGTATACCACAAAGCCCTTTAAAGCTCCGATGACGTCCCTCCGACGCGTAAGTTGGTGGGGTCGACGGGGCGAATAAGTGCTTAGCCCGTCGCAATCAAAATGATAATGTGACAAAGTTACAACAAACGCATTACTTTCACCCACACAAGCGTCTGATGTCTCTGGTTCGTGTCGATGCCGTTAAGTGCTTTGCGAACATGCCGCCAAGGAGGCGGGGATTGTGCCAGGTTGGCGTTTTGCACCAGTTGATTTTATGCAGCTGCGCGCAGCAGGTACAATAGGGCTGTAATAACACTGTAGATTTGCAGGCAAAAGTTGCGAAAACAAAGAACACAAAGCACATTATCCAAATGGAACGTTTGAAGGCGATTTTACTGACATGCATCGCAATAAAACATTATTTGGGGACAATGTCGCCTTAACTTAAAGACTCGAAATAATTTAACAATAAAAAACTATTCCAGCTGTTATAGACAATATTATTTAGGTCGATACAGTCGGACGACCTTGATTAGGTTTAAAATATGTTCCAGAAAATTAATAATTATCTTAATTCGTAAAACAATTTGCGTGTTATCAGTGGAGCACACTTTAAGGTGGGCAATCTATAAAATTCAGGCATTACTCACAGCAATGAAAAGAATTGTTTTTTATATACCCTTGCAGAGCAAAGGGTATTATAACTTCAGTCAGAAGTTTGTAACGCAGTAAAGAAGACACCTCAGACCCCACAAAGAATACCTACACATATGGATATTCTTGATCATGACTATTTTGTTTTTTATCATATCGACTTGATTCCTTCCAGATGGGGTTTTTTTTACTGCAATCGAAATTCGAATTAAATTTTTTCAAAATCGGATAACTCTATAAATAGCTGACATAGGAAATATCGAAAAATCTGTATAGAATTAACGGAAATTAGCGGAAAAAAATGATAACATCTTTGATTTTCATCAGAAAGGCTAAATTTTTAAAATATGGAGTTTTCTTATGGCCTCTGAATTTTGAAATCAATTTCATTAAAATCGTTGGACTATGTCATCATATGATATGATAAAATTGTCGAAAATATAGAAACTTTATAGAAAAATCAGCATAGTTTTGATGTTGTTTAGCCTATATGTAATTGGTTCGACATATTTGAGGGTATATAAACTTCGGCTTGCCGAAGCTAGCTTTCATTCTTGTTTACATATATAACAGTCAATCAATGTACTAAAATAATATTAAACATTAGTTCTTAATATTAAAACTAAATCTTCTCTACTTTAAAAGAATAATAATTTTTGAATTTGTGTAAAAGTTATGGAGAAAATTAATTGAAAACCAACAAAAGGGAATTGGGGCTATATTGTGATCCATGCTCCAAGGTTCCTGGGTGATGGACTGCAAAAAAGAAGATAAATATTACCTTCTAATACCCTGTTTGTTTGCCAACATAAACGAAAATTTTCTTGCCATATCGCTGAATGAAAGGTAGGTTTTTTCTGCAACTATTAAGACCCCTTTATTAGGGCCAAGTGGCGGTTAGCGAGTCGCGCGATGTACCGATGTGCAGATATGGTTTCAATAAGCACTCCGAATTATATTCGCTTTGCATTATAAAGAGCGTTTACGTTAGTAAACTGGGGTCCGGCCGGTAACTTAGAATGAGGTCTGTGGTCGAATGTGCAGCATGTGTGAACCGCGCATTTGTCGTATACAGCATGATTCGGTTGCATATCAGACTGCGGTAGGAAATCAATTACAATTGATTATAATCAGCAATTGACAACTTAGACGATGTTTTTTTCCAAAGGGCCAGGAGTAAAACCTAACTGAAAAATGGTTTTTGGCGTTCGCAGGCGTATAAGCTGCTAGCAAACCCGATTGAGGCAAAGTTGCACAGACTTATCTCTAACTACATTTTGTGGAAAGTTCGTTTTCATGTATAGATTACAAGTTTGGTTTGTGTTGGTCATGTTCTCTTCTCCATATTGCCCCATCTTCCTTGCTCCCCATTCTACCCCCCTTTCTTTGGTCCCTCTCCCAGAGTTGTGGTTGCGGATGCTCCCCTCTGTCCGGACGGGGCGTTGTGGCATTTAAAGTGCAGCAACCGTTTCCGCTATGAACTCTGCCATATCCGGCATTTGCTCACAATTCAAATTGGCTTCCAAGGCGTGGGATGCCAGCGGGATGAGGACACCAAGTTTCTTGCTTCTGCCTGGTTTGATGTGTCCGTCGCTGGAAAGTTTTCAACTTCAGGTGTAATGTGCGGAAGTGCACATTCAGTTTTTGGTCTTCGCTTATGCACTTTAAGGTAAATATTTGTACACAGAATCGACTTCTTTTTCCTTCTAGCCTTCGGAGCGGAGTGCAATGTGTTTTCTTGACATGTAAATCGAGTGCCAATAGAATACTCGAGTGTTATATTTTGCACCGATGCGAAAATGTTTTGTATATTAATAAATTGATTGTGTGTCTCTTAATACATACTCGAACACTGGTGTTTCTTTTTTGAATGCGAAGAATATGTGTGTGTCTCTCACTTTGACGGCATTGTCTCAATTGCAAACTTTTAAAAATTAATATAGGAGATAAATTGTTATCTGTGAGTGCACACTGTGTGCATTTTGAGATTTTAATTGCAAACTGCAGAAGTCTAGTGGTTTTTAGTTAAATTGAAAACTTATCACATTCTTGCCACTCTAAGAGCTCATTCGTCTTGCGGAGCTGTAGTTAGGGACAGGAGCTTCTGAAGCGTTTATTTTCTTTAATTGCACAGTGTTTTTGCGGAGGCGAATTGCAGAACCAATCTCGGCCAAGTAGCGCACACTTCAGATACTCTTTGCTATAGTAATTGCCCACGAGTCTACCATTTAAATTCCACGTGCCTGCATTCCGATGCAAATGGCGCACTTTAAAAATAAACTTTAGATCAAGTTGGGCCAATCGATAGGAGACTCTTCGCTTGCTAAGCTCTAACATTCGCCGGTGCACGCCCCATATATCTCATCGTCCGATAAGCGGTCGCTGTTTTCCGACCAGCGTCGTAAATGTTGGCCAAATATACAGCCCCCCACAGAAGTGTTTTCGTGTGCCTCTGGAATTCGATCGCAGGTTTCTGTGGGTTGTAAATTTTCCAGAGAACCTGCCACCACTATCAACATCGTTTTGTTTTTTTTTTTGATTGAGGTGCCTTTGTCTTTGCCAGTTTTGTGAACCTTAAAATTTGCAATCGCTGCCGAACATAAAGAATTTGTTAAAATTGGACCCCTCCGCTAATCGGGCTCATTATAGTCCATTTAAGGTGATAATCCGCCCAATCTGTCTAAATCTCGCGTGCACTCGTCGCAAAATCACAACCATCGAACTCAGATAGCGCATCGAAGTGCCGACTCCGTATCTAATCTTAGTCTAGATAGTTGCTGATATCCCCCTATGGGTACCCCAAGCGACTTGATACTGGCAATTTGCATCACAAATCACTCTACTGACCAAAGCCTGCCACCATGACGTCGATCGCCTCTTCACAGGTGCTCCAGACTGCCTATATAAGGGCCAAACACGACCCGCATCGGAACAGATTGAAACTAGCTTCCATTGGCATCAGCATGTTTCTGGCCAAAAGTCTTGTGTGCCTTGCCTTTTTGGCGATGGCGTACGCCCAGTTCGACACCAACTATGCGTCCGGCCGCAGCGGCATGGTGCACCTCTTCGAGTGGAAGTGGGACGATATCGCCGCTGAGTGCGAGAATTTCCTGGGTCCTAACGGCTTTGCCGGTGTCCAGGTAAGACCCTATTCCCCGAGTGGGCTTTTTGCATCGATGCAGTGACAGCAATCTCCCCCGCTTCGCCCACAGGTATCTCCCGTGAACGAGAACGCCGTGAAGGATAGCCGCCCCTGGTGGGAGCGCTACCAGCCCATCTCCTACAAGCTGGTAACCCGCTCCGGAAACGAGGAGCAGTTCGCCAGCATGGTCAGGCGTTGCAACAACGTCGGGGTCCGCACCTACGTGGACGTCGTCTTTAACCATATGGCAGCCGACGGAGGTACCTATGGTACTGGAGGCAGCACGGCCAGCCCCAGCAGTAAGAGCTACCCAGGAGTACCCTACTCCTCGCTGGACTTCAACCCCACCTGCGCCATCAACAACTACAACGACGCCAACGAAGTGCGCAACTGCGAGCTAGTCGGCCTGCGGGATCTGAACCAGGGTAACTCCTACGTGCAAGACAGGGTGGTCGAATTCCTTGACCACCTCATCGACCTCGGTGTGGCCGGGTTCCGGGTGGACGCCGCCAAGCACATGTGGCCCGCGGATCTGAGCGTCATATACGGCCGTCTCAAAAGTCTGAACACCGATCATGGCTTTGCCGCGGGTGCCAAGGCCTACATCGTCCAAGAGGTCATTGACATGGGCGGCGAGGCGATCAGCAAGTCCGAGTACACTGGACTGGGCGCCATTACCGAGTTCCGCCACTCCGACTCCATCGGCAAGGTCTTCCGTGGCAAGGACCAGCTGCAGTACCTAACCAACTGGGGCACAGCCTGGGGCTTCGCTGCCTCCGACCGATCCCTTGTCTTCGTCGACAACCACGACAACCAGCGCGGACACGGAGCAGGTGGCGCCGACGTGCTCACCTATAAGGTGCCCAAGCAGTACAAAATGGCCTCGGCCTTCATGTTGGCCCATCCCTTCGGCACTCCGCGTGTCATGTCCTCCTTCTCCTTCACGGACACCGACCAGGGCCCGCCAACCACCGACGGCCACAACATCGCCTCGCCCTCCTTCAACAGCGACAACTCCTGCGGCGGCGGCTGGGTGTGCGAGCACCGTTGGCGCCAAATCTACAACATGGTGGCCTTCCGGAATGCCGTTGGCTCGGACGCGATCCAGAACTGGTGGGACAACGGCAGCAACCAGATCTCCTTTAGCCGCGGCAGCCGGGGCTTTGTGGCCTTCAACAACGACAACTACGACCTGAACAGCTCCCTGCAGACCGGCCTTCCCGCCGGCACCTACTGCGACGTTATCTCCGGCTCCAAGAACGGATCGTCCTGCACTGGTAAGAGCGTTACAGTCGGATCCGACGGACGTGCCAGCATTTATCTGGGTAGCTACGAGGACGACGGTGTCCTTGCTATCCACGTCAACGCAAAGTTGTAGACAACTGCAGCCAAGTCAACATTTTATTGAGATTACTAGTTATAAATACATGACAAGATTACAAAAAGTGTTGCAGTTTAAATAGCTTTTTTCCAGGTGTTGCAAAAACTGTTTGTTGTTGTCTGTTTCCACGCGAACTAGTCTCTCAGTGTGGAAGCTATCTTGCTGAAACTATTACAAAAGTTGTACATTTATTACAGAAAGAATATAGATCGATAACCATTCCATATAGTTTCGAAATTTAACAGGAAAAAATTCTAACGCCGTCGGTTATCAATCTAGAGTCGCTAGAAAAATCAATATTCCAAAAATCATGCTTTTATAGTTAAAAGAAAAACGAAATTATAATTTTGTCCTATAAATTGTAATTAGAAGTTTCGATATATAGTATGGAGCTTTATAATATAGTCATCCGATTTTATTGAAATTTAATTACAAATTATAGAGTAAGTCTGATAAAAAACGACTTCGTTGTAATTTTTTTAGGTTATTATTTTGATTTTTCCAATTGGAGCTATATATAAATTCAAGGGGTCGAAATTATAACATAATTGTTTCTTTTTCATACAAACATGGCTATATTGATATAAAGTTTTTAATGACTCTTAAATTTCGAATTATATTTTGATGAAAATCGGGTGACTATTGCATATGGCTGTCATAGAAACAATCGTTGAAAGTAAAAAAAAAAATTAATTGGAAAATCGCTTTAGATTCAACGTTGTAAGGCATTCATTTATTTTGGCAGCAATTCATTACGACAATAGATATTAAAAATTTTTGTATAATATGTTGTACACTTTATCGCTGATGTTGTAATGATCGAAATAGAAGGCAACCAAAAAAATCTTTTAGAATGGCAATGAATTCAAGGATGCATAAGCCTATTGGATTTTTAGCATCATTTATTATAACGAAAAACATTTCTAGCTAAATTAAGTATACCCATTTTGCTAGCTTCTATAATTTTGTTGTCTTAAACAGCAGGGAATGGTTTTATCCGGACAGAAAACATTTTGTAGACTTGGTAGACTTGGGTAGAAACGTTACCTAGCCATAAGCCTCATTCTGAATTCAGTAAAATTTTTAATTAGGATATATGTCTAGCCGTCTGTCCGTTTCGTATATACAGTATATACATACATATGTATATTTTTGGAGTTGCAAGTGCTTCTCATTAAAGGAAATTAACTAGATCCAGAGAAATAGCGGAAAGCTTCTTTCTTAAAGTTTTCACGAATATTCACAAGCATTGATAGGCTTAGAACTTTATTTGTTTTTAGGGACAATTTTATTAGCAAATTGCCGTTAACCTGCTATGAGTCAGGTCCTTATGCTGCTTTGGGATAAATAATGCTAGAAATTCCGATCTTGTTTTAATAACAAACAACTCATTCCATTTAGTGTAGCGCCTAATAGAAACTTCGCGATTATGATACCGACTGACACCTGTCTAGAAATAGTCTCAGTGTCCGCCTGCATCCTCTGGAGCAGCTTGGTCCATTGCCGTGGGGTTAGCGATTCAGCCGACAAGCGTTGCGACCGCAGGAGTCACTTCCCATGTGGCATTAATTTTTAAAAGTCAGCTTTGAAACTTGTTTGACAGGCTGTCAGGACATGTTTACCAGCAAAAGGAAGCAGCGTTATCCGACTGACGGCAAATTGAAAACATGTGCTCGCTCTGCTCGGAGTGCTCGCATTCACATGACAGGCAGTTGGCGGGAACTTCAAAATAAACCCAGGGAAGCAATGGAGAGCGGGGTGTCATTCCAGCGAGCTCATCACAGAACTTTAAGGTTTTCCGAATTTCCGATTGAGGCGCTAATGAAACTTAAGCCCCCAATACCTAGCAGCAGCCGTGAAGGCACGTGTTCCTTCCACAGAGCAGCCCGTTCCAATACCGCTGGCACCGAATGCGACCCAAGTTCGCTTTGCTTCATGCTGGGTGGAGTGCTTTTGAAAAAAACAAGGCGGCGTAAACCAAGAACAAACGATGAGAGTGGGTGGGTCTTTTTATGATATTTGCATAAATACAAGAATGCTTTCCTTTGTCAGCAATTTTAAATTAATTTTGTTATACCCAAACTTATAAGGGGCGTCACAGTCGGTTCTGTTACTTCCGCTCCAAGGCCAACACTTTTCCACGAAAGCGCCCGACACTCAAAAAAATTCCGTTAAATCAAATTTCCAAATCGACTTGTGGTAAATCAAGTTCAAGAATATTTGTAGTTTATTATCACAACTTATTTTTCTTTCGGTTTTCAGGATACAATCAAAATACTTAAGGTTTGATTATTTTTGCAAGGCTTTTGATTTTTAAACGAGCGTTACAAGTGCATGAAAGTCGCGAACTCGGAAACTACAAGAGCTTTAAATTTGTATATTCATGCAGCAAAGGTTTGCCAAATGTATGTGCAACGACCACTATTTATCCACAAACCGTGAGATTCTGCGACGCCCTCAGGTGAAATGACACATCATTTTTGCTTAATTGTTTGGATTTACATTTTTAAGAACATTGCCGTGCCTAATTTTACGCACACAAGTCGCGAAACTTTGTAATGACCAGAGCTTCGGTGAAAAATGTTTGTTTGATGATTTGAATACGCAGCAAACGGCGTTGTTCAAAATTTTACACACTTACTTTTACTTTGTTACTCTACCATAAGTAACACTATCTGATAATCGCGGCACTCGACTATAGTTTTTTTTAGTGTTTTATTAAAACTTAACCTTCACATTATACAATATATTTTGCAATAAAATAATATGACATCTAATCAGTTCGGTTCGGCGTTCGAACATACATATTTGTGAGCTGTACTTTCGCTTCGCGAACCGAGCAGTGGAAATAGGTTCAGCTCCGGAGTGGTTTACAGCCCTGCAAAAAATGTGTCATCGACATGTAAGAGAGGGTCTTATCATTTTAAACCACATAAAGATAGTGTTACTCAGTGTAACGAGTATAGTCACGAGCAATATTTCTCAGCCTAGCTGATGTTGTCGGGGGAGTTGGCGCACGCAGGAATACTAATTCTCCGGCCTCTCGCTCGCCAGCAAATGGGTTGGTGTTCTTGCCGCCTCCTCCCGAAATGCCTGTGGCCATTATTAAATAATAAAAAGTCTGCGTGCTAAGCCAAGCGATAAAATTGGTCACAATCTCTCGAAACCAGATCAGCTAGAAAAAAAGCAAGAAAGAAAGGGCTCCCCTATATTTGGGACGTAGCCTGACGCGGCTCGGGACTTCCGGTGTTGTTGAAGCCCGACGTGCCCTCCCTACCATTGGCTGCTCTTGTCCAAAAAAGAATATTACTTCTCAAGCCGCCCCTACGCGTTTCAGGGTCCCACGGGGTCAAGCCTGCTAAAGGTCAAAAGTGGGGGTTCTTAAAACTTTATAAGGTTTATTTAATAACTAAACATTAAGACTTCAAAAGCTGACATCAATTTTAGAGACACACAAAAAATACTTAAATTACATATAAATAAATAAATAAATTAGAAAAATTATGGTCTAAAAAGTCATTTACGTCTTACAAACAAATCCTCAAAAACTTAATTCTTGGGGCAGCAGTCAAAATTGGATATTCCAATATCCAATGAATATTCGGACATCAAACTTATAAACGGGCAATCAAACATATAAACGACCGATCGAACATGCAAAACGAACATATAAAGGCGCACTCGAACATACAAAAGCCCAATCGAACATCCAAACGAGCCCCATTGGACTCTCGATCGTCTGCGTTACTGAAATTTACTATTTATTTCTTTGCATGGTCTACGGTCATTATTTTTACGTTAGGTTGATTTAAAATATAAAGAATAGCTAAAAAAAAGGGTTGCCTTAAACAATTCAGCCGGCAGGCCATCAGCACCTGCAGATTTATTGTTTTTGAGTCGTTGGATTGCATCCTTGACTTCGGCATGGCTTGGGGTCGGTACATCTATATCAGTACCATAGATTGGGGTTTGTGGATCATAATCTTCTTAGCCCGTGCCAGAGCCAGCTAACAGGCTTGAGAAGAGATCCCTCCATAGCTTCAGCACAATCTCTGCATCTGTGACTAGGTTTTCGTCATTGTCCTTGCATGCAACTCCTCCAGTCTTACAACCTTGGGTCAGACGCTTAACCCTCTGATAGAAGTTACGAGCTTCATTTCGGCATCTGCTGCTCTCTATGCTTTCACACTCTCGCTTTTCCTGTTCTCTTTTCTTGCGTCTGAAAAGGCGTTTCTCATCCCTTCTCCTTAACCTGTAGACCTCAACAACAGCCCGTGTAGCCCCAGCTTGCAGTGTTCTTCGGTAGGCGGCGTGTTTTGCAGCTGTTGCGTCCCGACACTCCTGGTCATACCATGGATTCCTTGTTGGGGGGCGCTGGAATCCAATGACTTCTTCTGCGGAAGTTCGCAGGGAGTGGGATATGAGCGCCCACTGATCGCTGATGTCTTCAGGTGTTGGAGTTGTTCGGCTCAATAGGCCAGAGACTTGAGTGGAGAATGCATCCCTTGTCTGTTGTGATTGCAGCTTTCCGATGCCCAGCCTTCTCAGCAGTCCTCGACGTGCAACCTTCGCAACACATAACCGTGTGCGAATCTTAGCTGCAACAAGATAATGGTCGGAGTCGACGTTGGGACCCCGACAGGATCGCACATGATCGATCTGAATTCTGGTCAGTCGATCGGGAGAGAGCCACGACGCCTTATGTATGTCCAAATGACGGAACCCAGTACTACGAACTACCATATTATGCGCTGCAGCAAAGCCTATTAATCTGAGACCATTGCTCGAGGTGGTCTCATGTAGACTTAATCGCCCGACGGTGGCACCAAAGATGTCTTCTCGCCAAACCTTGGCATTAAAGTCCCCAAGGAGAATTTTAATGTCATGAGAAGGGCTCCGCATAGAAAGTATCCTTGGTTATATCGTCTTTTTCTTCGGTTGGAGCGTGCGCGCATATCAGGCTGATGTTGAAGAATTTGGCAGTAATTCGGATCGTTGCAAGTTTATTGGCAGAAAGTGAGAGACTCGGCGCCGCAGTCTGGTGCCAACAACAAAGCCACAGCC